CCATCACCAACATACAATGAACATCTCTGAATGCATGTAAATACTTTCAATATAAGTCATTACTAAAGCAAATTAAAGTTGCAAGTTTTTTTTAAATTTTATTCATACAACAGACACTAATGCAAATCTTCTTGCATGTAACAAGTCAAGAGCAAGTCCAGTTCTTAGAAAGAGTCACTTATTGTAGCTACACTTGATCCCTGTTTTGTCTTAGGCTGGAATTTATCATCACACCACCTGCTATTAATATGCCACTTAGGGAGTGTCAGTCAAAGTCACGTTGTGTCAGCAGCCATTGTATTGCACATGTCTCCTGCAGAAAGCAAGCAAGAATACATTATCCCGACTAAACTGTTTGCAGTTAGGCTAGTAAAGTTATTTACAACCCACAGTCAGTGTAGATCACCTCTGTAATGCAAATTCTGCATGTAGCTTTGTGGCATGTGTGAATGTCAAAGATTTTATTTCTAGTGCAGCATCTCTGAATCTCTTCCCCATGGATGTTTTTCTCTTTTGGAGGGATTCAGTGTGTCTTATTGAGATCATATTATCTTACCATGAACAAAGTTTCTTTAATATTCCCACTAAGTATTTTCTGCATGCAATGATTATGGGTCACTAAAGGGTTCCTTATGATAAAAGCTTATTTTATCACATTGTAATAAGCTGCTGTAGTACGCCAACATGCCATTGTCTTGCTTGATTTAGTAGTACGAACCCACATGCAGAACACAAATCAGGATGTGAATAATCAGTTAAAGTGATTTATTTACAAACAGGTATACAAGGTAGGTTCTCATATAACTCGTGGTGGTCAAAACAAACAGGAACGCCAGGACGCTGATCCGGAGGCTTATTTGTTAAATTATTAAAGATACTTTTCATTTATCCAGTATTTCTGAACTAAAATGTTTTTGTTTTATATGTCTGATGTAGTATTTCAGTTTTAAATGTCATGTTTATTTAGCTGCAAACAGAAATAAAGGCTTGAAAACATCAGCTTGTATGGAACTAATATAATGTGTTTTGCTCAGTGATGGAGTTATTGAAATAAGTCAGCTTTTTAAAGAATAATTTATTGATTTATTGATTATATAATTGTTGTACACTTCACAGTACATATTATCTCTCAGCGTATGACTGAGTAACATGTAGACAGTTTAGGAGTCAGTAAATCACTAAATTGTACAAATTGCTGTACACCTTACTGATGAGGTTACGCTCCCCCTGCAGGTTAAAATAGGTAGGTGCAGTAGTGGCAACATGAATAGATTTTTTAGTGGGAGTTAAGTTGACTTAGAGCCTCAGTCACTCCTTACAATTAAAACAAGAAGATTAAATATTTAATGTACTTGATTTTTATTATTACAACTATGACTAATCACTCCTAAAGCAGCAGTAACCAATAGACCATTAAAAATCAGATACTTGTTTCCATCGTCAGGATGAAACTAAAACAGCTTAATAACCTAAAATGTGTCTAGATCATTCAGAATATATTCTCACTGTCAGTTACTGGTTGACTGGTTAGTCTTCCAGACTAGCAAAGCTACGATCACGGCTCCCAAAGCTAAAGAGACTCCAGTCACACCAAGTCCAATCTTCAGAGCATCTTCTACCTGGAAATGAGGAGAGAGGAACAGATCAATCCAACAGAGAAACTTTTCACTCCCTTCTAACAGTCTGACGTTTAGTCACCTAATAGAGACTTCAGTGTATTCTATTTATTTTATGTGATATAAACAGAGTAGAGGACAGTTTGAAGGTAATACCTGGTGTTTACGATATTTAACAAACAATTCTGAAGACTGTAGTGTGTATTTGTGTTCACCACCTTTATTCTAGTAACCCAAAATAAAACCATTTCAGAAGTCTCTTAGTAACCAGAGTCCAGCTGTGTGTGATTTCATCTCAGTATGACTGCAGATGTTCTGGTTTCAGAGATTCTTTAGAAAACATCAGAGAAGAAGAAACATCACGGATACAGAGGAAGGCAGCAGCAGGTTAAGGAGAACGCTGAGGAGACGTTTAAAGAACGGTTAGCTTCTGAGACAACATCCTGCACTGCAAAAACACTAATTTACAAAGTATTGTCTACTTTCTAAATATCTTATTACACTTTAAATCAGACTAAAATAACTTACAAGTAACTTTTCAGGAAGATATAGGAGTTTAAGTGTTAGTTCAACCGGCAGACATTTTTCCTACATCGTAAGTGAAACAGAGATAGTACTTTTTCATCAAGAAATTATTGACAAGCTCCTATATTTTGTTTAAAAGTTACTTGTAAGTTAGTTTTGTCTTATTTTAAGTGTTCTAAGATATTTGCACTAGAAGCTTGGCCAAGACTTTGTGTTTTTGTAGAGAACACGTCATAGATGGTCTTAGACGAAATCTCTCATTCTGTTTAGTCCATGTTTGCGGGGGACACATATAAAACTATGGTGGACCAAATTTGGCCCGTAGGCCTTGAGTTTGATGCATGGGGTTTAAGGTTGAGACCCTGAAATGTTCCTTAAAACTGACTAATGGACCTCTGGTGAAGAATCAGAAGCTTTTTTCTGAGGTTTTGGCTTCAGGAAGTAGTTTTCCTCCTGCTCAGAAACTCCATCTGTCCTTCACATTCTCCGGTTTGGTCTCCATCAGACGTACCTGCTGGGACTCGGCGTCTCCGTAGCGCAGCTCAGTGGCAAAATGTTCACAGTTGTATTCGACGACGTTGTACGATCGAGTTGTGCCGACGAGTTTGTTGGCTTGGTCCACGATGATGTGGGCGGGGCGCGGCTGCTTCTCCTGGTCCAGTTTGTTGTTGATGTGCCACTCGTCTGTGGAAACCACCTCCAGCAGCTTCTGCTTCAAAATGTTGTTCTTCCCCATTGGAAGGTTGATGGTGCTGATCGACGAGAAATTTCCTTCAAGCACAAACCAAATGACAGGAAAATGTTTATGGAATTAGAACGGTTCTGGTTCTGATGGTAGTTTGACTCGGATTTAGTTGAAGGACGTTCTGATATTTTCTGGGCTGCAGTTTGATGTTTTTAGCTGTACCATTTCAAGATTCATATAAAGTCTTCTCAGTGAACAGCAGTGTGTTTTAGTGAATGTGGCCTTGAAACAAACTGGTTTCTGTTCTGTTAGCACCAGTTTGGACTGGACTCACCATCCGGTCCCAGCAGATGGACGACGTAGCCGTCACCAACGTACACAGCCCAGTGTTCATAGACGTTACGGAAAATCTCAATCAGGTCTCCAGGCTTCGGTTCATCTCCGTTCTGAGATTTAAAGGAAGAAAACGGCAAAAACAATCATTTCTATTATTCTATGATAATCATTTTAACCTTCGTCTCTCAGACTGCTGGTAGTTTAGCTCCACAGTTTCATTTACAGTTTGCATATTTTCTTTCTTAACTAGAAATAAAAACTAATCCATGATCAGAATGTCTCCTTCACTGAAGTTCTGATATTTGTCTTACAGTGTTTAAAACATTCAACATTGAAGAAGCCACATCAAGCTCACTTTGTGCTACGTTTGTGCTGCCCTCATTTGGGGATTGCAGGATGCTGGACCTCTGAAGCTGAAAGAACTAATGGATCTTATTTCTGTGATTCTGTCAGAGAAAAACTTTCTACCTCCTCTTTATCTTTGTTTTCTAGTGAAAACTATATTAATGATTAATCTTCACATCTGTCTCTGTTTCCTCTGGTAAACAGAGTGAAAACCATCAGAAAACACGTAGCATGAATTCATATTAAAAGTGAACAAAACAAGATTTGAAGTTTCTGTCAATAAATCATCCTGGATTAAACTCATATTATTTCTGCTTTTAAGCACATTTACATGTTGAGACTGAATATTATCTTTCATATTTTTAAGTTGCAGCTCTAAAACTGTTCAGCCAGCTGCTGTCGGTACACAGAACATGTTAGAAATTATAAACTGAAAAACTAGAAATAATTTTTCTCACCTTGTCAGTGATTGGTTCCTTTGCAGGTTTTTCTTTAGAAGAATTGAACATTTTAAAAGAAAATGTCCAAGTTAAGCATTGCGTTATACTAAATATTAGATAAAAATAAATTTATATTAGCAGGATGAGGGAGTTTTAACCCTGCTGTGCTGTTTTCTACTGCAGAACAAATGTTATGTAACTTTTCTCTAAGTTTTATATAAGAGAAACAAAACAAACCAGAATATTTAAATAAAACTCACGGCATCCTGTAGAGTCCATAATCTGTGGTGTCAAATTGAGGAGAAAAATCTGGTTTGAACAAGTCAAAAGAACAATGTTTTAAAAGAAAATCAGAGATTTATAAAAGCAGACACGTCCTCATTCACAAAGCTTTTAAAATGAAATACAGATGGGAACTTTAAGTTTCTTTAAAGCTTTCTCAACTTTTCACTGAATCTGTAAAATCTAAAATACAAAACATCACTTTTCTAACTCTGTTAATATTAAATGTATTTAATACGCAGGTGAAGTTTTGCTCACCTGCTCAGCTCTGTGTCTTCACCTCACCTGAGAGAATCACAGTAAAGACAAAACATAAAAGCTGTTTCACCAAATCCAGGTGTGGCTCAAAAATAATAAAAACAAAAAGTAACATAACCTGTTCTGACTCTGTGCTGCACCGAACTACACAATTTCTGATTGTTTTACTGATTAATATGAAATATTGGTTACGTAGGATTCCTGATCTCAGAAACTGAAGTTATGAATTTTGTCTTTGCTTTCTGCGAAATCTGTGGACAGGATCTGACAAAACTAAACATCAGCTGGAGGAAATATGCATTTCTTTAGATACTGGCAAAAATAATGATCACACCCAGGAGATTAAGAGAAATTCTTTAGAATCACCTGCAGGGCATGAAGTCATTAGGTTATGCAATTCACCTGAAACATAATAATGAAACATTAAATTATTTTAACTAAAAAAAGTCTTTGAACAGAGATACGTTTTAATGATAAATGATAAATCAGAGGAAGTCAGTGAATGTGTTTGATTTCTTCTACAGAAAGTAGTCGGCTATGATCTACAGAAATGAGTGTTACAAATACATACAAACAAATGTTTTTTTAGTCTACTTGAAATCTATTCCTGGTAGAAACAAAGGACAAACAACATTACACACCCAGTGTGAGATTAATTAGCTAAGCAGGAATGTTTGTGCACTGTAGGAGGAGTACCCAGAGAGAACCAACTCATTGGTGAAGAGAACATTCAGAGAAAGACTGGGGATCTGAACCAATGTCATTGTTGCTGCTGTCAACCAATCAATCAATCACTCAACAGCAGTTTTCAGCAAAGACATTCACAATAATAATAAATCAAGGCAAAGTCAGCATTTAAAAACCAGAGAGAGAAGCATGCCGGTCCATCTATAGGATAACATACAACAATTCACACAATTTTAGACTGTAAGGTACATGTGCATGTTCTCACTGAATATTTCAGTAACCATGTGCTAGTGAGCGGAAGGACTTCTCTCTCGATCACTCTGCTGCTCTGCTTGGCGGTTTGAGAGGATTTTGGATAAAATGTTGCAGACAGCAGATCAGGTCCCTCACAGATCCACCTAAAAGGAATCTGAATAGATCTCAGTTCACCTACAACATAAACATTTAGTTAAAAAACCTGCATAAACATCAACATGATTTATTTAATTAAGGCAAGTTTTGTCCATTAATACTGACTGATTGTAATGTAGTAAAGACAGGTGGTACTAATCACATTGAAGCAATATATAGAGATCCAACTGAAGGAAACCATGAACAATTATCTCTCTTTGTAGTTTATAATCCTAATTACTGCCACACAAAAATTTCCTGAACCTCATGGACTTCTACTTCTGAGGTTTGACATCTTTAGCCAGGCAACATTAATTACTTCCAAGTAATCACCTGAAATTACAAATCAGAAAAAGCAGTCATTACTTTAATCAAATATATTAAAGCAAAAATTCAAATAGTATATTATTGATAGTATAAGCCACCAGCAATGTTTCATTAAGGATTTAATCAACTGTCATGTGGATGCAACCTTTTATCCAAAAATCGGCAATGTTTTCAAGAACTAATGAGAATTAATGTTTTTAAACATGAAAATAAATCCTTTGGATGTTTTAATATGCATTTCAGAATGTTGAATAGAGGATATAATGGCCCTGACCAATGAAACTGTTAAGAGAATAAAATCATTAACTTCTGGCTTGTTATATTCTCTTGTGCTCCCGGATTCAATGATTCCATGCGTGGAAACAAAAGCCACACAGAGATGACAGTCAACGCTCCACAGCATACATTTTCAGAATTTATTCTAACATTTAAAAGTATAAAATCACATTGACAACACAGACACTTCAAACACACTAAAACAGACATTCATTTACCTGAGACAAATGGAAAAACAGAAGAAAGAAAGAAAGAAAAGCAAAGACAAGTAAAAACATATTTGGAGAATTGCAAGAGCAAAATCTGGTTTGTTCCTCACATGCACAAATTTTTATAGTAGAGGTGTATTTTTGTCTTTTAATTTATTCAAATAAGGTGTATCTTTGCTTATCCAACCAGGAGCTGTCTCTGACCCTCTCTAAAGTTAGAAACTCCCTGCAATTTGTTTCCAAGATCAAAGGCCATTTGTCCCCTTTGTCTAAATAAAGTGGAAGCAGAGCTTCTCCTCTACTGGCCTGAACTCCTGCTGTTTTACGGCTTTTCACAGATCAGTGTGAAAGCTGGAACTTCTCCTGATTGTTTCCCACACAGACAAAGGGCAGTTCAAAAGATCTTAGCAAACAATCTGCTGTAACTACAGGTAACATAAAGGTCAATAGGGTAGAACAAGCTATTAATCTGAAAACTATAATTAGGCTATTTTAATCAAGACATTTTAAGTTTTAAAACTAGCATATTTTAAATGTATTTTCTTAACAAAACCCACTTACAGAGAAGATCATAAATAATCTTATTTATGTGTACTTTACATTTAAATCATTAAGCTGGATAGTTATTTTTAATCTAAGTAAGCAATTTTAGAGCTACACAATATTTTGTTGTATTTGATCTACTATGTGAATTCTTAGGTGGGTCTCAATAACTTTAAAAAATCTTTGAAAAGTTTCTATTTTGGTCATTTGATTCAAAATTTAAAACTCTTGAGATTTACCACATACTTTTTGTATTAGTCTTATGTTAAATTGTTTTTCTGGAAAATAAATTATCTTTTTTTTTAAGTATTGTTCTTCTTAACCCATTGAACATTGAATTGAAAATTCATGTGCAGTTTTAGTGTACAAGAAATGTGAGTCTTTCTAAGCCATAACATTATTAAACTATTATATTTTTACTTTAAATTAAAAATGTAAATTTCAAAATACCTCATTGTTTTTGGTATTTTGTATAGACCAAGTTTTGTGATATGGATGGAGACCATGGAAGTCAGTGTTCAGCACTGTGTTAACAACATTACCCAAAATGGTCTCTGCTTTCAGTAAAAATGTAGACTGCTCTAAAACAGTGGAGCGACTTTAAAAGCTGGGTCTTTAATTTAAGGTGACTCATAGTTTATGCGGGAAGAACACATTCATTCACAGACACAGTTCTCCACCAAAGAATGGATTTTAGAAATCCCCAATTTTCGCCATTCCAACACAAAATATAAACTTTGGCTCCGTTTTCCGACGACCATTGAAGGCATCACATCTCGCGCTGTAGGTCTCTCTTTAGCTAAATTCGGACATATTTGTGATCGTTTACGTGGTAAAATTTCTATTTATTTGCTCTCCGTTAAGTTTTCATGTAAAATGTTTATGATTACTTAAAAGTATTTTTAAGTAAATGTCGAACACAACTTGGAAATAAACCAGTTTTTAGGAATGTTTACGAGCATTTCCGTGGTAAGTTCTGTTTAAAAATGTTAGCTAGCCAAAGCTATGAGCGTTTTAGGGTGTCTATCTAATGATATATATTTAACACACACACACACACACACACACACACACACACACACACACACACACGTGTGTGTGTGTGTGTATACACACATATATATATATATATATGTGTGTGTGTGTGTGTGTGTATATATATGTGTGTGTGTGTATATATATATATGTGTTGTAAAGTTATGATATTTAGGCTCTTCTCCATACAATATATTAAAATAGACATGTGAATGGCAGTAAACGTAATTTAGGGATAATTATAGAACTGGTAAATTCATTATTTTTGATTACACAACTTTGAACCAAATGATTATTTAGATTATAAAAATGTATAAAGTGATGTTAAATAATTATTTTCATAAGTACATACTCTAATACAATTTTTCTTTTAATATTTGAAGTTTCCAGGACAGTAAATAGATGTTTCAGTATTTAGCTATATTTAAAACACTGCAGGATGAAAACTAATGGTTGTTAAAAAATAATTATTTTAACTCAATTTAAAAGTCCTGTTTTGAGTATTAGCAGCTTCAATAAAATAATCGACATTCATTAATTCATTCCTCAAATGCCTGGTGTATCTAATTAAAATCATACCTAATTTTAGCTGCAACGTTCAAATGAATGATCTCAAATTAATTAAGCATCTGATGGGCAGCAGAAAAACAAGTAATACATATTTTTATGCAGTTAGATATACATTAAAGGTTAAATGTAAAATGGCCGACAAAACTAAAAAAAAAAGTTTGTTACTATGAGATTTGGCAGTAAATAAAAATAGCAACAGGCATCGCTTTATGACACAAAATGTCTTTCAAAGTAAACACGGTAGTTTAAATTGAAATAAAAAATGAAAAAAAGCCCTGACAACTGTATTATTTAATACTCTGTATAAGATTAACCTACCAGTGGTGAAACAATTCACACAGTTTATGTGTCAGTTTGATTTATTTTTCTTTATTTTTTTTTTCTTTTTAGTCATACCAGAAATGGAATAGTAAAGCCATTACTTATAGTTTGCATAACAGTTATTCTCTATGTCATGTCATGAATAAAATCAATGGTTAATAACTAAAAATTGCAGCGCTGGAGGACTAGAACTGAGAAATTAATTGTTTTTACATATTATATTAAAAGTATAAATAATACTAACTCAGTGTAGCCGCTTGTTTTTTTAGCTTGTGCTGCCACCTAGTGGGTGGTGGAAAAATATTTTTAGACCTCATCTCAAAGATCCTGGTTTTCTTAGAAAGTTATTTACTTTGGTATTGTTTCCCTGTTGAAGGTGAATTTCTACAGAGTTTTTACATTAAGTTTTGGGAAGCAGAATCAGCTGGATCAGATCTTTAACATATTTCCACACCTGAGTGAAATCTGCTCCTGCTGAGACTCAGCGAATCATCAGATACGGAGAATGAATGAAAGCAGCGGCGTTTGGTAGGTTTGATGTATCTGTTTAATACCTTTACTTGTAAAATTAATATTAAATTGTTTTGCTAACTTTACAGCGTCAGTTTTTGTGCCGTCAGATGCAAACAGTTTTTTGCGTTTTTAAAAATTATAAGCATACTTCAATTTTGTACTTCTATATTTTTAAATATGAAATGATTGATAATTTATCAGGTACTTAGTAATTTTTCCCAAATACTTTTTTACTCGTAAAATTATGTTGAAGTAGTGCTACTCTTAAGAACAATTTTTGTGCACTCTACCCACTTCTGGAATAACTGAGAAAAATCGATTGCTAAAAAAGTCAGTTGCAACTCTTAGTTGTCTGATGCATTTGAAGTGAAAGGCCTGTAAATAATTAGA